CTTACATACAGGTAGCAGAACTCTGCTAAGACAAAAAATTCACTAAGAAATTAGCTTATTTTCCTTCTGGTTGACTCTGAATTTTGCCCAGTATTCCTCACACACCAAAGCAAAAGAAATAAATGCAACTAACATCATCTGAACGCAACTATCACTGTATGTTTCACATCACTGTGGTACAACAGCCTGTTTCAGGAGGCTTTTTCACTCTAATCATCTTCTACCGCTCCAGTACCTTACAGCCATTAGTAAGTGATAACATACACTTAACTTAGAGCAGATTGCTACAGAGAAAATGAATGAAATACATACAGAACTTATCCTACAAAAAGTAAAAGACAGTGAAACACCATAAGTTTTTTTGCTTATCCAAAAAAAGTGTACCTCCCAACCATACCTGAAAGGTCACACAGACATACATTAAACAGCAACTGGCAGGATGTATGTCAGCACTCATCAAGGTTCAAATAAAAAAGCTGTTATTCATCTTATCAGTAACACAGTCACTGAAGAATGTATTGTCATCCATGCAGCAACTCTGTAAAAGACACAGTACCCTATGATAGTTTTTTTTATGTCTACTAATCGCCTAAGCAAATCTGCTAAGCATAAAACTTAACTCAAAGCACTTTTTTTTTGTTTTAAAATTCACCCCAGAGACTACAGGTGCTATCATACATATCATAATACTCAAGAAAAGAGCATGCCATTTATGTGAAAATACAAAACAGTACTATTTACACATAGTTCATTTTGATTTGGTGTTCTACAGAAGTTACCAGTCCTCTTACGCCATCTGCTCTTTACAGCATGTCTTCATTTGCAACATAACCAATAATATTCCAGACTATTTGCAGTGTAAACGTTGCTAAATCTTACTCTGCCACACAAATCAATTTACGGGGGGCTAGATATCCTGGAATTGCCATTTAACATGGAAAACCCAATCACTGAAAGGTGAAATTTAAGGACCTTACTCTTTTTCCCTTATCGGGATTTTTTTTTTTTCTATGGTGAAAGGAACACTGTATGATCACTAAGCATAACCACCTGAGATTCAGGCATACCTTAACGTGGAACGAGAGAGCTGGTGTTTTTTTTACTTACCAATAGCTGCCAGACTACTTCTGCAGGCTGCAGAAAGGCAGTAACGCCCTCCAAGACTTCCGCTCCACATTCTTGACTGTTGAGAACTGCTTTCCTCAGGAAGCCACAGTTCACAGGTGCAAGGCGGTGACTGACGCAGCACACCTGTGCCCTGGGAGCCCTGCCGTGGTACAGCTGTGCTTCTGTCTCCTGTTGCAGACATCAACTTAACTCAGTTACCGCGAGCGCGGAGAGAGTCTAGCTGCTTCAGAAGGGCCTGCTGACAACCCGACCAGTTCCTGGTGCCCGTGGCATTGGGGATTTGGCTTGGGTGTTATTTCTGGGAGGAAAAGGCACTGTTAACACAAGGAGTGCCATCTTCCCCCATCCCCTAACCCCCAGAGCTAGGAAATTGCAGGGAGGCTAACGCAAAACAGCTGGCCCTGCAAAAAAAATGCTTTTTTTTTTTCCCTTTTCCTTTTTTT